GCGATTCTGTCCTGGCTGCGCTTACAAGGGTAATGCAATACCATAATAAATACAACTCACTGTGCTCCTAGGGAGAATTGCGTCCTTGGAAATTCTTCCATCTTCAAAAATCATGTGCTCAGTGTGCCCCATGGCACTTGAACTCATGGGTTAGAGGCACCCTACAGGCAGACACTGAAGAGAGGTGTTTGTAGGCCATCTGAGGTACAGGCCTTTTTAAATAGATACAGTACTACTTTTCTAAAAGCAAAGCATCCATGTCTGGCCCTGAGATTCAGAAAATATATAACAGGCATGTCCAACAGTTAGATCGTGATCTACCGATAGATCACTGGACGTCTGTGGTAGATCACTGTTAGATCATTGGGTCTCCCCAGAGAAGCTGAACAACTGTGGCCCCCCTAAAAAAAGGCTCAACATTTTACCTCCTCCCTGAAAAAACTCAACAACTTTGACCCAAACCCCCCAAAAGCGGGCCTTCCTCCTTCCTAAAGAAACAACTTTGACCTGAACCCCCCAAAAGGGGGTAAATCGCTGCCAGTTTTTAACTCTGTGCTTAGATTGCAGTCTCTTGGGAGTTGGCCACCCCTGATATATAACAAGTGCATGCACCTCTATCATGATGACTCTCCATGCTCCATGCCCACCCCTACCCCAGTTGCCTCCTAGTAGTGTACAGCTTTCCAAACAGTTTGGTGGAGCGGAGGTCCTTACCTGACCTCCTGACAGGTGAGCAGCTGCTGCTTAATGGGAGGGGGAGGGACATAGCTGCAGGAAGGATAAAAGGTAAAGGTAAAGGGACCCCTGACCATTAGGTCCAGTCATGACCGACTCTGGGGTTGTGGTGCTCATCTCGCTTTATCGGCCGAGGGAGCCGGCATACAGCTTCCGGGTCATGTGGCCAGCATGACTAAGCCACTTCTGGTGAACCAGAGCAGTGCACGGAAACACCGTTTACCTTCCTGCTGGAGGGAACCTATTTATCTACTTGCACTTTGACGTATTTTCGAACTGCTAGGTTGGCAGGAGCAGGGACCGAGCAACGGGAGCTCACCCTGTCGCGGGGATTCAAACCACCGACCTTCTGATCGGCAAGTCCTAGGCTCTGTGGCTTAACCCAGTGCAAATGTACCACCAAGAGTGCTGGATCTGCTCAGCCAGTGAGTGAACCTGCCGCTATCTCACCCCAAGCCCAACCTGGTAAGCAGTGAGGACTCACCTGTTAGGAGGTCAGGTAAGTACCACTGCCTCATGAGGGTACTGGTCAAAAATGAAAACAGACCATTTCTCCCAGATCCTTTTCAGATTTTGAAAATTGATCTTATCAGAATTATTGTATAAGGCTACTTGGCCAATCAGGAAAAGGACTGAAAATCTAGCCAATAATAGAAAAGTAGCCAAATAAGGTTTTCAGAACCCTTGCAGGTGCAGGGGAAATGCTGTTCTACAAGTATGTCTGCATGACATAATTCACATTCTGGTTTTCTTGTGTTAGACAGGCTTGCTAGATAAGAAACTGAGCATATACTGTACCCAAGCAATCAGGCTGCTTGAGACTGGGTTTTAGGACAGAGAAATATGGAACTGGTTAAATTAAGATGATTTAAGATTGGGAATCCACCTTATTTCTGTCAAAGATAGTTTTTCTCTGTATGCCCCTAAACCAACAAACATAAGGAAATAAAAAAAATGCAGTGAAAACTTTGTACCTTGATAAAAACAAATGCAATAAAATGTTAATACATTCAAAACATATTCTTTCACAAGGAATCTTTAAAAACTACTTGATTTACAAGGCTTTTTACTACCCTTTAACCAGAAAAACCAGTCAGCTTGTGGCTCAACGGCCAAGATTTGGCTGTGTTTAGAATAACCCCGCAAAGGAAAAAGCTCCCTGATTCCAAGATGAGGGATTTACTGAAAATACAGATAGATAGACTTTAATTAGAAAATAATGAACTGTAGTGAAGTTGGCGGAAGTCCACAATTAGTGTGTTTCTTTTTTCATTTGATATGTGTTAGTTTATTGAAGAATGAATTATATATGTATTTGTGTCTTTCCTCTCCTTTTTGTTTTCTTCTTTTCTTTTCTTTTTTAAGGTTTAAATGAATTAATGAAATGTATATATTTATATTCTTTGTTTTTTTCCCTTTCAGTGATTCTATATTTTTTCCTATTTTTTTAAAAAAGATCTTATTTTACTTTTGTATTTCTCTATTTTCTTTTAAGTGTGTATCTCAATTTGAATGTATGTGCAATATAAGCAAATAATTTTTTAAAAAAAATTATTAATATGACAGGATATTTATAACCCTGGGGGAAAAAACCCACGTGGATTGTTTGTTCTCTGTTTTGGCTTTCTTCCAAATCTACTAATCAGTATAAATGCTAGGTAGAATTGTCCCTGACACACCTTGGTAAATTTTGTTTATATAGAAATTGTAACCTTGCCCTATGCACCATTTATCCACAAATTTCGCTTCTATGTTTTGATATAATTTGTTGTTGTTGTTGTTTAGTCGTGTCCAGCTCTTTGTGACCCCATGGACCAGAGCATGCCAGGCACTCCTGTCTTCCACTGCCTCCCACAGTTTGGTCAAACTCATGTTAGTAGCTTCGGAAACACTGTCCAACCATCTCATCTTCTGTTGTTCCCTTTCCCAACATCAGGGTCTTTTCCAGGGAATCTTCTTTTCTCATGCGGTGGCCAAAGTATTTGGAGCCTCAGCTTCAGGATCTGTCCTTCCAGTGAGCACTCAGGGCTGATTTCCTTCAGAATGGATAGGTTTGATCTTCTTGCAGTCCATGGGACTCTCAAGAGTCTCCTCCAGCACCATAATTCAAAAGCACCAATTCTTCTGTGACCAGCCTTCTTTATGGTCCAGCTCTCACTTCCATACATCATTACTGGAAAAAACATAGCTTTAACTATACGGACCTTTGTTGGCGAGGTGATGTCTCTGTTTTTTAAGATGCTGTCTAGGTTTGTCATCGCTCTTCTCCCAAGAGGCAGGCATCTTTTAATTTTGTGACTGCTGTCATCATCTGCAGTGATCACGGAGCCCAAGAAAGTAAAATCTCTCACTGCCTCAATTAGTCTCCATATTAAATTGGTAGAACCTTGAGAAGACCATCTATCTTCCATTTTTTAAAACTTATGTTTGTTTTCAAGACGTGTATCCACTGCCCTGCAGTAAAGCTTATAGGGTGGTTTACAAAAACAAGATAAAATAAATAAATGAAATATATAACAATAGTAAATTACATATTAAAGACTGAGAGAACAAAAACTTAAAGGATAGTGGTGCAGCAATAAAACTGCTAGTACATTTGCAAAGCTAAGCAGGGTCCGGTATGGTTTCAAGTTGGATGAGAGACCACGTGTTGAGATTCCTCCACTGCAGGGAGTTGGACTAGAGGTCCCTTACAATTCTAGGATTATATAATATTAATATTGGTTCCCGGTAAAATTCCCTGGAGAGAATTCAACAAAGGAGGTGCTACCATTGAGATGACTATGCCTTATTTTCTCACTTTGGATGGTGAATGACTTGGATAAGAGTCAACTACAATTCCCAGAGGTCCCTGTAAAGAGGGATTGGATGCTAAATCACTCTGGGAATTCTAGCTTTGTGAGGATAATAGAGGTCTCCTAACTACTTTCAGAACCCTTAACAAACTATAACTCTAATAATTATTCAGGGGAATTCCATGACAATAATAATAATAATAATAATAATAATAATAATAATAATACATAGTCATACATAGTCATATTCCCTAACTATGATAATAATTCCATGACTGCTCGAAGTCTTATCATATTACTTTAGATGTATGGTGTGAATATGGCGAAAGCGAGTAAGCACATTGTGTTCTACATATGTTGTCATTTTTGTATGGAAGAACAGCTTGTTGTAGGAAGCTTGAAACCTGTCCCATTTGTTATGAGCAAGTGCCATATGAAACTCCTGTTTTTATATTTTTAAATATTTCCACCATGTTGCCTCTATGTTGTCTTTTTAGCATTCATATGTCTGCATGCAGCCTTCTGTCTTCTTTCATGGCGAGGTATGGTATGTTTGGGTGGGTGCACAATTGAGACATCAGATAGGTTAAAGCTATTGGTATAAGGCACCTTTGCCCCTAATAAATACCTTCAGACTGCTCACCTCTATAGGCTGCAATCCCACCTGGGAGAAAGTCCAACTGAAATAGGTCTTACTTCTGAGTATACATGTACGTAGGCTTTGCTCTGCTAACTCTTGCCTATTCTATTGAGGTTGAGGGCTTGCCCTCCATCCCAAAGCAGGGATATAAAACTATAAAACCAATAAAGCTTAAGCTTCAAGGCCCCTAATCTTGGAGGGACCTCAAAAGGGACTCTGGTCCACATTGCTTTAATTTTTTGCGTCTAGTAGACCCAGTTTGACTCATGCACACAACTCAAATTGTCTATTTTTGTGCATGAATATATTTCATCAATCCCAAAGTTGGAGAGTCAGTAGTACAGGCACAGATGTTGTAAAGGCATTTTTAGTTCCTTTGGAACAACCTCACTGAAGGAGACGACAGTGGTCACTCTGACCTCACTGCCATGGGGTCCCCATAACAGTTCCAGCTTCAGGGCCCCCCCAAATGTAGGTCTGCCACAAGGGGTGCCAATTTGACTAAAATATGGGGGGACAGGGCTCAGGCAAGCACTGCCCCACATAATCAATCACATGACACGGCGCACCCCCCATTTGAATGGCAAGCCCATTAGCAGACCCTCCACATTTCCCCAAGATTTCCCCAAGTGAGACAAACGATGACCTTATGTGCCATCATATAAAGGGCCTTGCTTTATTCTTTACTATGTATGCCATTGCACCACCAAATTTGAAAGAATCTTTAATTTGAAAGACGTGGGGGTAGGGGAGCCGGCCCATTCAAATATTTTAGTGGGGGGAGGCTCCTATGTCCCCCCCCAAAAAAAAACTGTCCCAGAGCAACGTCCCTCGTGGTGTTGTCGTCTCCTCGGTCTGCAGGAGACCTCCTCGCCTGCTGCTCTGCTTCCCCGCCCCTTTATCTTCCAGCGCGTTTTTCCCGCTACGCCAAGCCGCGCGCGAGAGGGCGTCTCTGTTGCCGCAGGATCTTCGGGGCCGAGTCCCCCGCCTGCCTCTGCGTCTGCAGCTCACGGAGCAGGAAGTTCCCGCGTCGTCGGAGGCCAGCTTTATTATCGTCACGTGACTCGGCGCGGGCAGCAGCCGCTCTGGTCGAGTTCGGCAATCCGCGCTGAGGGAAAGAAGAGGAGGAAGAGGGAGAAGCCGGGACCCGCTCGACGCCCCCGCCATGAGGAGCGCTCCCCGGCGACGGCGCCGCGTCCAGCTCGGGGCTCTGTGCCTGCGCGCTGGTCCCTGAACACCGTGCTTTGCTCCATGCAGCGGCTCCTCCATTGCGGAAGCAGCAGCGCCTCTCCTGCAGGGACGGCGCTGGCCGCGTCGGCGGGAGCAGCAGCAGCAGCGGCGGCCGCCTCAGCCGCGTGATTCCCCCTCCGCCCCTCCGCCGCCGCCCTGCGCGCCTGCCTGCCTGCCTCCCAGCGCGAGCTGGATGGTGCTTCCCCCGGCCCCGCCGGTGCGGCCGGCGGCAGGAGTACTATGCTGACTCGGGTGAAGTCTGCGGTGGCCAATTTCATGGGAGGCATCATGGCTGGCAGCTCGGATCACGGCAGCGGCGGTGGAGGAGGTGGAGGAGGCGGTGGCGGCGGTGGTAGTGGCGGAGGAGGCATGGACCTGCCGCTGCGCTTCCCTTACGGCAGACCCGAGTTCCTGGCTCTGTCTCCGGACGAGGTCGAGTGCTCCGCCGACCACATCGCCCGGCCTATCCTCATCCTCAACAAGGAGACCAAGCGCCTGCCCTGGACCACGGGATACGCCGAGTGAGTAGCCAGGCACAGAGCCGCCGGGTCCCGAAGCAGGAGGACGGCCGGCAGCGTCCCGTCCCCCCCTCGGCTGCCGGTGCGCCTTGGAGAGGAGGCGCGCCCACGTCCCCTCTCCAAGGGCGCTGCTGCAGCCGGGAAGGGGGGAGAGGCCGGGGTAGGATCACCTGCCCGAACCTCAGCGTCTGGAGCAATCCCGGCACGCTCGTTTTCCGAACCGGGGTTGGATGGATATAGCCTTAACTTCTCCCATCATCCTGGGAGAACCATACAAGCGTAGAGTTGGAACGGGACCACTTGGGTCATCTAGCTCAACCCCCTGCAATGCGGGGTCTTTTTGCCCAACGTGTGGGGCTCGAACCCACGACCCTGAGGGTTAAGAGTCTCATGCTCTACGGGCTGAGCTGTCGCGATTGACTCAGCCCTGGAAATGGGGGGCGTGGAGGCGAGGGGAAAGAGCTATTTCAGGTTTTCTGTTGGGAGGGAATGGTCAGCCACCCTGTGGGTAGATTCTGTCGAAGCCTAGTCGCAGGTGGACTCATGTAGTGTGGCTGTGTGTATGTCATCTTCCTTTGGAAGCCTCCCCCCTCATTCCTCGATTCAAAATTCACAGCTTGTGGTTATGGGAATGTGCTCTGTGCATACCTCCAATGCCCTGCTCTTCAGGTGTTGGGGTGAAACCTTGAGAAATGCTGCTTCGGATTAAGTCCTCTTATGTTATGTGCTGGGTTGGTTCGGTCAAATACTCTCCCACAAGTGATTTGGGGCAGCTTTCACTTATCCATTGTCTGTTCTGAGTGGGTGCAAAAAGTTAAGTTGCTTTTAAGTCCTGTTTACTTCAACTTATCTTATATGAAATCCAATCCTCTTGAATCCAGTAGGTTTTACTCCCAAGTGGGTGTGCATAGAGGTACAGCCTGACTCTTTAAATATTTACTTGGAAATAAATTCGGTTGACTTTAATGAGACTTACTCCTGGGTGCAAGCGTACATAATGCTGTAGCCATAAAGTGCTTATCTTTGACCGGGTCATGTGCATCATGCACCATCTGGTTTTGCAATTCCATGTGTCTCTCTGAGATTTTCTCATCTAGGTCTAGTAATTTTGATGGCGTTATTAAAAGGGAAGGGAAATGAAATGCGGAAAGTTTGCCCTTTGAGTCTCTCTCTCCTCTTCCCCCCTCCCCCATGTGCAGATTTCACCCAAAGACTGTGTAGCATTTTTGTTCTGCCGTAGATCTGTGTTCTGCAAGTCTCTGGATTGTTTATTTCTACTGATGCAGAAGGGGTTTAGGAAGTGTTGTGAATGTATGGGGAGAGGTGGAGGCAGAGAGAAAGAGAGACTGGGTGCTATCTTACTGTTTTGGTAATGGGAGGCTGGCATTTAGCGCACACCCCCTTTTCCAGGCCTGTGCTGCGAAGATGATGGCTGGAGTGTGTGTCATTGATCTGTTCCATTCTCAAAATTTTCCATCCTCCCTGCACACGAATCACTCTCTTGCTGTGGAAGCAGGATTCAGGAAGGTGGAATGAAGGAGACTACAGTAGCTTTTCGTGCATATATCTTTCTCCGGATTCCAAACTTCTTCAGTTTTAAGTGTCACATTATATTATTTTTGTGCTTATTGTGTGCTTTTAACATCTGAGTGGAAGGCTTACAATGAAGCAGTGATCTCCTAAAATAAAATGTGGATTTTGTTTGCAGGGGTGCATATTTTGATAAGATGGGAGGGAGCTGCAGCTTTTGAACTGGTAGCAGAAAGCTTCACTCTCCCCCAGGAGATGTTTTTGGGACGGATTATGTTACTGCAGCCCTGGACACAAATAAAAGTGAGCATTTACCTGTGATGAAGTTTGTGCAGGCAGATTAGGATGATCTCTGATCCTGTCCAACTCATTAGGTCTAGGCTAGCTACGCTGCGTTGCATTCAGCAATAACCAAATTGAATCTTACTGCTGTGTCTTATTTGTTTCCATTCATAATGCTTATTTATAAATTGAAGGCACTCTAATGGTTAAGCAGTAAAAAAGGAGCAAACTATAAAAAGATCTGTTGGCCAGTTCAGAAGGAACACATTGTCTAATGAAGTTAGTAGCCAATCTCTCAATATAATGCTGCAGGATTAATGGTTGAAGAACTTTCTGGTCAATTCAGTAGCTGCTTGTGGTTCATGACTTCACTTTGTCATGTCACTGTTGTTTCCTTGAAAAGGGCTTAGTGATGGCCAGCAGCCAAAAGAATCATTTTTGGCATAATCCAGAGGTTAAGCAACCACTTAAGTCCTCATCTGAGTGGATACTTAATTACTGTATATGATTAAATTTCACTGGAATTTTACTTACAGTTTAACTTAGCATTGCAGGATTAAATACGATGAGAGCAGTGATTGCATATCTCCCCTCATCGAGAAGAAATAGATAAATTAGAACTCAGAATAAGTCCCGCTGAGTTCACTGGGACTCGTGTGTGTTGGGATATTGCTGCCAGTAATGATAAATCATATATTTGCTATGTTCACTGGTGAACAGTGTCACTTCACCCCAGTGAAGTTAGGGCTTTAGGTCTCACCTGCGCAAATTCAGTGTAATGTGGGTGTCGTACGACTGTTTGTGTTGCTATCAAGAGCACAAGGAGTCAGTCAATGTCTGGATTAGGTTAATTTGGACGATGATGACTTTTTTCAGCAGAGCTGGGGAAGCTGTGGCACTCCAAATGTCCCCAACCATTGGCCATGCTGGTTGGGGTTGATGGGAGATGGACTCCTATCCTTTGGAGGGCTGCAGGTTCCCCCTCTTTGTTTTACAGGTTACTGGAAATTACCCCAAGTACAGTGGTACCTCTGTTTAAGAACAGTCTTGTTTACGAACGATTCGGTTTACGAACTCCACAAAACCAGAAGTAGTGTTCCGGTTTGCGAACTTTACCTCGGTCTACGAATCGAAACCAAACGGTGGGTGGCCTCATTAGGGAAAGTGCGCCTCGGTTTAAGAACAGATTCGGTTTAAGAACGGACTTCAGGAACGGATTAAGTTCGTAAACCGAGGTACCACTGTACTCTTAATATGTCATGTGATTATTTCCTTGCTTTTCATTGCAGACTCTAGGATGGAGAATAAAGAGACTTATGCACGTTCACTCGAAAGATAAGCACATCACTTGCAATGAAATTTAGTCCTAAGAATTAGCCAGGTACCAGGTGTGTTTTGCAACTGGCACGGGTCCATTTGCGACCACATGGAGATCTATGGTTGCCAGGTTGGCAACTAGGGAAAGCAAAATGTCACTTAGAGGAGGATCTGAAATATTTTCCTTGAAGCTTGAATTTGTTTTATTCTGGATTGCTTCATTTGATGTTTTAATGTGTTGTAAACTGCTTTGAGATTTGTTCTTTAAAATGCAAAGTGGTATAGAAATGAGATGATGAATACTACTACTACTACTACTAATAAGTTCCACTGCAAACAAAAAATGGCGCCTAGACATTCCATTGTGGTGACTGCAACCTAGGCTTAAGGTGCTATTTGGCGATTAGATTATATATCTTGAGTTTCTAACACTGCGTCAAATGGATTGTTGTGTATGTCTATGAAATGCCCTCCAATTTTTAGATACTGTACTTTGTTGAACTGCTCTTCTGTGTACTTTATTGGGACATGTAGCTACTACCTTCCATATTCTGTTTGTGATTGAAGTTGGTTTTTGTAGAAAACAAAATCTCACCCCAGGGACTTTCAAAAGACTAGATCAGAAACCCCTCTCTACCACTATTGGTATGGGTTCTGCAGAAGAATCACAAATTCTTACTGTACATGCTAGTTCATTATACTGAAGACTTCGCCTGGGAGACCAACTTCTCTTGTAGTTGCTTTATCAACCAGATGAATTGAGTTCTACTGTATTAAGCTTTGACAATCTGTCCGCCCTTTTCTGTATTGTAACAAGAGATGGTTATTCCTTGCTGCTAGGCATTTGGTTTTATTCCTCGGGTAACTTGTAATGATCATCCAGTTTTGTGTGGCAAAACAGAAAAGGCTTTGTTTCAAGTCTGCTCGGGGGAGGGGGGGGAGTCGTTTTAAGTATATGTGAACGTGTATTGTTGAAGTATTAGTAACTTTAAGAAGGGAACGTGCCCTTGCAGAATTTTTACTAAGGACTTCCTTGTAACCAGATAATAAATTGAGATGGTGTTTTCTTTTTCTTTTGTTCTTTTCCTTCCTTTCTTTTATGTTAGACTGAAAAAAATGTTTATATTTTTACTCTGAATCTTAAGATAAACTGTAATGCCCCCTAATGAGTGTCCCCCCCCCCTTTAAGACTGTTAGGCTCATCAGTGAATCCAATTAAAATTGGTGGCACTAACCTGAGAGACAGAATGCTTTTAAGATTATAGTAGCTTTAGGACAAAGTATTGACCTTCCTGAAGTAAATGCAGTTTTTGCTATTTACTTCAGTATCCCAAATTTGCACTGTTACTCTTCTGTGAGCATGGTTTCTACATTATTTTTGGAAAGACAGAAAGCTGGTGCCTAGACAGTACTTCTCTATACCACAGGCCTGCTGTGTGGTGATCTCCAGCCTTTAATGGATGTAGGTGTAGCATTGCATAACTGTAAGCCTGTAAAACACAATGCTACTTGGCTGCAAGAATAATTTTGTGAAAATAGTGAGGAACCAGGAGACTTTTTTCTTTCATTGGGTGGCTTTTTGTGTTTTCTCATGTAGATGTTGTTGCGTAAATATTACATGGTGTATTATTTATTTACATAGCATATTATTCATAACATAGCATATTATTATTTTTATTTATTAAATTTCTGTGGCACCCTTCATCTGAGGATCACAGGGTGGTTTACAATATACAGCCACAAAAGTAAAATAAATAAATCAAGAATCACTTTGGTGGGAGTGTCAGTCATACAGTGGTGCCTCGCAAGACGAAATTAATTCGTTCCGCAAGTCTCTTCGTCTTGCGGTTTTTTCGTCTTGCGATGCACGGTTT